AATCAGAGTCCACTGGAGGCCGCCCTCATGAAGCCTGTTGTTGGTCAGAGACATTAAACAGTGGCCAGTTAGAGGTCATCCTGTTCCTCGTTGCATAAAGCAAATACTGGTCCTGCTGATGGTTTACTGACGTACAGTCCTCTGTCTACTACTGCAGACTATGCTAGGAGACAGCAAACAGTACTGACGTGATGCTATACTCTGATTAAACATCAGCTGCTGTGCTACCACACAGTAAATACATTAGTGTAGTTTGACCTTTGACCTCAGGTTTGCAGAATGTTGTGGGCACAACACTGACCACAACCTAATATTAGCATGCTTTGGTAGCATTCAGATGCAGCTACAGGGTTTGTGCAGTTTAGCACAACAGGAGCCACGTTTGGAGAAAGTTTGCTGTGACTGTGCCGCTAACAGCACATGTGCTGACATCATGTCAGATTATTCATGCTTCAGTTTCAATTACTGTAGCCAAACATGCTAGCTGTTAGCTAGTTCCTGCATTCTGTTTTTTCAGGTTGTTTGGCACGTGGATTCCTGCGTTTCTGTTCATCGTGGCGTCGTTATGCGTGTGATCAAAATCATATCAGTATTTCATTTCTAACTGTGGCACTTTAAAACCAGGACAGATCGTCGCTAACGTGTTGCTAACTACAGCTAGCTAACACCGCTACACTAAAACAACAGGACATGCTGCATGGAGAGCAAAGAGAGCCAGGCTTTGGTTTGAAATACAGCGTGTGGATCGTGGGACAGACGTACGTGTTCAGGTGACGTGCTAACAAAGCTTTAATATGCTAGCTGCTGGTGGGGGTTGTTTCCATACACGCACATCAGTTTGTAGTAATTAGTAGCAGTTAGGTGTTAATACGAAAGTGAATTCATTCATTTTAATTAAAGAATTATTAATTTAATAATTTATTTTTTTGAATTTTTTAATAAAATATATTTGTTATAAATACACATTTATTTTTAAATAATAATAATAATAATAATAATAATGAGTTTGTGGCACATTCTTGCTTCCACACAACACTGTTAGGGTCACATGACACTGTTAGGGTCACATGACTACTCCACAGCTGCACCTTAAACAGCACACAGATCACACAGCAAAGCTCAAGAGAAGAAGTGTCCACATGGATCCATCACACCCACCGGTGACAAACACACATGCGGTGTGTGTGCGAGTGTCTCACGAGTAGTAAGCCGACGCTTTCTTGCTGGAGTACGGTGGGAGTCGGCGCATGTAGAGAGGGGGGGGCACCCTGATGAAGCATGGAGGAGGAAGAATGAGTGTGATGATGAAGCTCAGTAAGCCTTGTCCCTAAACAAACTGAATGAACTTGATTCATGTGTCAGAGCTGCAGGACAAAACTGTGACGTTACAACTGTCGAGCTATGAAAACAAACAGGTGTTCCAGCAGACAGGAGAGTTTGTGTGGATGCAGGTTTGTTATGTAGCATTGCAATGAATAAATGTTGCTCTTTAGTTCAGACTGTAAGCTGTGCTGATGTTTGCTGACTGTTACACTAATACGACAGCTTTTACTGCAGAACATTTAAACAATTTACGAATGTTTTTGATGATCATTTGCTGCAAAGTAAACTGTGAAAAAGGGCGTTTTGTACCCAGTGTGTCCAAGTCCACATTTATCTGACTCACTGAAGATTCACAAACTCCTGAGAACAGCAGTCCACTTCAGTACCCTGCTCAGTGAGTCTGACCTCTGACCTCCACTCTTTCAAACACCAATCAAAGTGCAGCGTGAACCCTCCATGAGGTCGCCTAGCTCTGTGCGAGTGTTTAACACCTCCCAGAGGTACGTTTGCATTTCTACTGAGGCTGAACCATCAAACATCTGTACGGTCACATGATGTTTACAGACAAATGTCATTATGGTTGGTTATTGTTAAATATTAAGACCTGAGAGTATTTACACAGCAAAAACAGACGCTCTCCATCCGTGCGTTTAACAAACCAGTTATGGTAACCAGTACAATCCCAGTAACAGTGATTGGATATAACGAGCTGAGACAGACGTCTGTCAGGAGTAAAGATGGAGACTGTGGAACGTGTGGTCGTCCTCGCCAATCAGGAAACATTACATCACAGCAGGGAGCCTCGTGGACAGCACAAAGCAGCAAAGTGGGAAAACTCCAGACTGTGGAGGTTTGGACACTAAACATCTGGCACATCAGCACATGACGCCACAGCGAGCAGCTGCGGTCCTCGTCCTACCACAGTGGGAGTGGCAGCTGCTCGCTGTGGCAAGCAGTGTGTCAAAGGATGGAGGACGGGTTTTCTTTGCTGCGATTAAATGAAACAAACCTTTGTT